CATTATATATATTTTCCTAATTACAACCTAATATTGTCAAAGTTACATTTAAAAGTAGTGGTAATGTGTTAGTTACATGGGAAACTTAAGGGTAAATGGAAGTTAGCTGTACCTGAGGGCCTTTCAGACATGTAATCTTCCTCTGTACTCCACATTTTGGTATGCCTGTGTAGAGCCCTGCAAACCTGCAGCTATCTGCAGAGATCCACAGACCATGTTTGTGGCTCACAGTTGGATGCAGATGCAAATTTTATACCTAGAGCCTTGCAAATCCAAGAATATCTGCAAGGTCATTTTGCAGATTGGACATGGGTACAAATTTTGCATCCTCAAAAGACTCTATGCATGTGGGCCACAGGCCTGCAACTGGACACTCGTAGTAATTAGCATCCACTGGTCTGCACGTGCACTGTAATCGAATTGTGGATGCAGTTGATAATGGCACCTCCGCCTTTGAAATGTAGTCGGCTCTTGCTACATTTCAAAGGCGGAAGCGCCATGGGGATCTTGACTAGTTGCTTACATCCCTACAAGGAAGACCTTTTCTCTATGAAATATGGTCCCCACTGAGTCTGTCACAAGTGACCCAGTTCATTCACCTATCTGGCTGATTTGATGGCAACTTAAGCAACCATGAAAAAACATGGCTATTGGTTCCAAAAATGCGTAGGGAATGCAAAGTTGAGGTCCCATTGTGGCAAAGGTTTTATCACTGGTGGGAAGGTCGTCATTAGACCCTTCAAGAACTGAATCATGGTAGAGCTAGTAAATGTGGTGGAATGAGAGGATGCTAGAGACGGATTGCCGCCAAATGGACTTTCAATAAGCTAACAAAGCCCTAATAGTTTGAGGCACAGGAGATAACTGATAATGACAGGGACACTTGCTGATTTTGGTGATAACTGATTCCTTCATGATCAGGTAGAGAAATGCCTCCATTTAGCTAAATAGCATTTCTAATAGAAATGTTTCCGCTGCGAATAAGGATAGGTCAGATGGCCTTCAAACATAAAAGTTCAAGATCTGATACCCACACAAATACCAGGCCATGAGCTACTGAGGCGCTGGCTGCGCTATCTGGCCCTGCATGTGCCCTGAGTGAACAGATATTGAAATGGTTAAAATGTAGATGGAAATTCAGGAAATAAAAAATATTGGGGTCAATTGTATGCCATGAGAATAAACCTGGCCCTGTCACTGCAAATTCTGTGGAGAACCTGAGGTGGAAGGGGAGGAGAGGACCGTACCTCAGAGTCCATCCAGGATAACAAAAGGTCATCATCCTTGCAGCTGTGCGATAACAGTTTTGGAACAGAGCGTGTGAAGTTTTTGTTTGGGAGGCAAATAGGTTCAAAGATGGTGCTCACCACTGAGTGAAGATTTCAGTAGACAGAATTATCTACTTCTCAGCTGTGGTCTATGGAGAAATGCCTGCAGATATAGTCTGCCAAAGTATTCTGCACATCTAGAAGGTATGTCCCAGCATGATGTGGTTCTTCATGTCCCAGTTCCATAAGTTTGCTGCCTTTCCTCAACCCTCATGCCATCCTGTTTATGTGAGAGACCTGGTCGTGTGGTCTGACACTGGCTAGCATGAGGTGAGGAATGTGTTGCATGCAGCTACAGGAACTGCCCTGAACTCCAAGAGACAAACTTTCTGGTCTCCCATGGAGGCCATGTGCCTTATGCAGTGATTGGCCTAATGTGCTCCCCAGCCTATGAGTGTTTCATCTGTGATTATGGCTGTGATGGAGGCAGATAGGCGAAAGACAATTTGCACTTGGGTCCACTGTATCCGAGGGACATAAGAATGGTCAGAATGGGTCCACCTAAGCTCGGGTCCACCTAAGCCCAGTATCCTGTCTACTGACAGTGGCCAATGCCAGATGCCCAAGGGACTGAACAGAATAGGTAATCATCAAGTAATCCCTCTCCTGTCCCCCATTCCCAGCCTCTGACTGAGGCTAGGGACACCATTCCTACCTATCCTGGCTAATAGCCACTGATGGACCTAACATCCATTGTTTTGGGGGGGGAGTTACCCATGTATTCATGTTGTCCTCATCCAGTGACTAAACGGAACAAAGCCAAACCTGCAGATAACGAATGTGGGGTCCAGTGAACAGCATTTTTATATACTCAGAACCATGTGGCCTAGTAGGGTAGGTAGACCCCAACTGGGGTATAAGGTCTGAGGAGGATTTGGTTTATCAGGCTGTTCATAGCTGGAAACCTGAAGGGAGATAGGTTTTTCCTGGTAAGCCTAGCAGGTCGAGTCCTATGAAACCTATAGCCCTAGTGGGAGTCAAAGTGGAGTAAAATATTGCATCTTTCAAGTCAGGGCTACAAACCATGTATTAAGAACGGCCAGACTGGGCCAGACCAAGAGGTCCATTTAGCCCAGTATCCTGTCCTCCAACAGCAGCTAATACAGCTGCTAAGTGCTTCAGAGAAAATGAACAGAACAGGTAATCGAGCGAACCATTCTCTGTCACCTATTCCCATCTTCTGGTAACAGAAGCTAGGCCACTTCCTAGTCCCCACCAGGGACAGAATTACTGATATTAGTCCTATAACATCCCATTAAAAGAAGCCCTTGGAGAGAGGGAGGGGATGGGTAGTTGTCACAGAAGTGAAAGAAACCACATACATGCGTCTTGAAATGTGTTGCATGCATAGTTATTTGCATGAGCATGGGGCGAGGTCTGGGTGGGTCTGTAGATTTGCTTGTGGTTGGGGTGTAAACACCCAGGGAGCAGAGGGCTATCCTAGAGTCCGGGAGAAAGTAGTATGACTTTTCTCACTGAAGAGATTACACTCAAAAGTCAAAATTGTTGATGGTATTCTGGACCTCCCCGGAGAAGCCTGAAGAGAACAGCCGTGATTCACACCTCACGATTCCAGCTGTGGTGATTGCTTTAGATGCAATGTCAGTACATCCACTGACAGCTGAAGTCACATCTTAGCCACCAGACTGCCTTTGGTGACGAAGACTTGGAACTGAGCCCCATCTACCTAAGGAAGTTTGTCTCTGAACTTCAGCAATTTGGAATAATTTAGTTAGCAAATATTCTCCTATACCTGGTAGTTAGCAGCTCTAAACTGGAGACCAGCTCATGAAAATACTTCACTTTCCTAGAAGTCAAGGAAATTGGCACTGTTGGCAGCGGGGGTGAATGTGTGTTTCTGGTACCTGGACTTCTACATAGCCACTTGCATTGCTAGAAGTTGGGCACTGGGTGGGTAAATAAAAACTCTGCCCCCCTTTCACTGGCAAAATCTATCACTTGATGATAGGGCTACAGAATGCAATACAACCTATTCATCCAAAACTAAAGCAACCAAAAAAGCTCAATTCCTTGAAAGGGGCCACAAACTCGATCACTGTGTGTCCCTGTGCCTCATCCATAAAAATGGGGATTCTGTACATCCCTATCTCCAAGAGGTTATGAGAAAACACATACTGCAAGACTACAATTCTCTCAGATTTTTATATTGTCTCATTACTCTAGTAACTAAAATAGCCTGCATACTAGGTTTACATTCATGTCAATGCATTCGGATAAGCTATTAAATACGAGTGAGTTTATTCAAAGGCTTATATTTTCTTTGCTGGTATGACCATGGATAGGGGTCATCCCAATTCTTAGACAAGAGTCTGCTGCTGACAGAAAAAGCCCGGGTCTGCGTTTGTAATTCACTATTACAGCAGCAAAGGATTTTCAGTTTACGTTTTTTAAACAAATGTAATTTAAAAACTGCTGTTTCAAGTGTGGGCTTCAATAAGCATTTAAGTGTTCAAATAGCTTAGTAAGGACACTAAGGACTGGTAGACAAGTTATTGTGATGATATTCTTTAACCTACCTTTTAATACTGTCTTTCTACAAATAAGTCAATGTAAGTAGCATCCACAATCACTGTATTACTCAGCTAAGTGTGGCTGTGTTGTAGCCACAACTTAAATCCAGGTTCAAGGTTTTAGAAGGTTACTGTAAGTAAACTTCAGAAATTGAGTGTAATTCAGGATTCCACTCCTTCGCACTACAAGTAGTGGGAGAGGGTGAAATCTGACACTAAGCCTACTGAAGAAATGTAAGCCAAATACTAAGCAGTGCTGATGTTCTCCAAGGATAGGTCCAGCCTAGAAGGATGGCAATTTAAAAAGGTTCATGGGTGGAGGTTCCCAAAGAATGCTCTAGAGCACCTCAGGAGGACTATTAAAAAGCAAAATAAATGGTTAGATCCCTGCTGCTGATGGTACACTCAAGTAGCACTTTTAAGCCTCCAAACTGACTGGCAGCAGCGATCATCAAACTCAAAACAGCAACCTAACTTACTGTTTACACTAAGCAAAACTCAACCCGGGAGTAACATGGGAAAACCATGGAAGTAGCCTAAAAGGCAAACCCACACAAGGATGTGGAAGCAGGGATGTGGAATACAACTCCAAGTTATTCTGCTTTTTGGGAAGACATTTGTTGCACATTCAGTCTAAGTTTTCAAAGCTGTGCTGGAGAAAGAATACCAAAATGATACAAAGTGTCCAAAGATCAAGATGATAAAAAATTAATATAAATGGGCAGTAGCAATTAATGTTTGTAAAGTTTAAAAAGCAGAGAGATGAAGACCCAAACATTTCTAATCCAGTAGTAGAAATACAGATTTCTGGGACACTGAAGAACATTGGTAGAACTAAAAGAATCGGTAAAAACTATCCCTTAGAGAATACTGAACCGTCTACTGCATTCTGCCCAGGGCAAGAGAGTGAACTATTACAAAAATCTAAGAATCAGCTAAGTATTTAAACTAATAGCTGTATCAATATTTAGTGCAATTCCCCTGCAAACTTTTGATCTCTCCTTTTGACTAGTACCTCAAATGGATACCCTCAACACTTGCTTTTATGAAGCATAACTTTTTTCTGTAAGAAAGGGATAAGTAGATGCTAAGCTTGCAGATTAAACACTTTCATGCACAAGATACACAAGAAAAGTCTTACTAAATCAGCACCAGCTTGAAGCAATACATCTGCAACATCAGTATGTCCATTTTCACAGGCATAGGTCAAAGCTGTGTCTCCGGTAGCGGTGGTTGCATGGACATTCGCTCCTATAAAAGCAACATACATGCTAAGGGTTACTGCAGACATTCTCTCCCGCCAAATATTTTATTTGAGTGAATCCACCAACAGTTAAACTTAAAAAAGCAGCTGATCCTCATACTGTTGTAACGGCAGTAAGTAAGGCTTGGCTTCCAATAGCACAGGGCCTAATAGAGGAGGAGACCTGAGATCTGGGAGAAGAGCCAGGAGTTTGTGGCAAAGGAAGGTTGTGGCACATTTGACAGCAGTTAAATTGCTAGACAAAACCAGTCAACTCACTTTACTGCAGTGCTAACTGGCAACAGCTCCCACTCCCCAGTGCTGAAGATTTTCATTCCTAAATCCAGGAACTCGGGGCTCTCTCATTTTTTTGCAATCTGGTTCAACAACCTAGACTATAATTTATGCAGATTACCTGCTCTACAGCAAACTGTGCCAAGGGGGTTCTACCTTATGGAACAGTGCTTAAAAAGAAGTTGGATACAGTAGTACTATTACTACAAGGGTATAATATTTTGATTGGACAGATTTTCTTTTTCCTCGGCAGAAGAATGGGACTAGTTTTTATGCTTAATCTTTATATTGCTCCAATAATTAATTTTGTTGCGATAAATTACCAGTGACTGTTTTCATATTTCCAAACTGCATTTAACCAGTTTGCTAGCGGAATACAAACAATTAGATATTTTAGAGCATTATTCTTATGCCAAAGACTGACACCTCACGTATCCTTTGACAATTTCAGTAGACAAAGCAAACTGAGCTAGACAGAGTACCATTAAGGGTGAGGCTAGTTCAAAGTCTATTGGTTGTGCTTTAGTATAAAGGCTATTGATTGCCATTATCCCTTATCCACAGCTGAACTACTTCCTTTTCTAGCACCAACTATTCTGTGACTTATTAACATTAAGTGTATTATAGGAGAAAAAACGCTCATTTACCTTTTGTAACTGATGTTCTTCTAGATGTGTTGCTCACATCCATTCCAACAGACATGTGTGCTGCATGCACAATTGTGGAAGACTTTTTTCCACTAGCAGTAACTGTGGGGCAGGCTATGGCACTCCCTAGAGTGGCGCGTGTACACCCCAGTATATAGGGGCTCAGCCGTCTCTCTACCCTCTCAGTTCCTTCTTGCCAGTTTTCCAGCAGAGGTGGAACTGAAGGGGTGGAAGGCCGGCTGAGTCCTCTATACCATGCCATACAGGTGCCATTACAGGAGTCTCCTCAGTTAGCCCGATGCATATCAGTAGGGGAAAACAACCTTCCAGTGATCGTACATGTGGTGCACACACACCTATTAGAATGAGCAGGAGCAGTCACTCAAAGAAGAATAAAATAATTTAGTTTAAAGTAACCATGAGCCACAATATAAACTGATCTCTATGTTATGGTATTGCAGCAGCTGCACGAAACTTAGGTTTGTTATTTAAATCTTCTGTTAAAAGTCTTTCTCCTGTAAAAATCTCATTGAAATGACAAAAATTAACAATACACACAGTATATTTGGGTTTTCTATTGTGGTTTCAAGAATGGCTATGAATTGCCACTATGCATGACAAAAGAGTGAAAATGACTATAACAGAGGTTCCCTGACTTGCGTTGTGTTCCCCTTTATCTGAAACGGAATCTGTCTGCATTCTCCTCCCACCCCAGAGCCCGGGGACAGGTAGTTCTCCCTCTCCGCCTCCAATGGGGGCAGGGCAAAGCGCTACAGGGCTATTTCCTAATTCAGACATTTTTCTTTAAGACTAGCATCTTTTAAGCGATATCTCCTTTA